AGTGCCTGGAGGAGGGGAAAGGAAGAGCAGCCAGTGTGCTTGCTGAGACCCAGTATCACCAGGTACTGGTCCCAGCTGTCTCTGTTCCCTCCCGCTGGCCAAACCCCCCTCCACGAGTTCCCAGCACCCTGCTCCCACTAGCACAGCTGGGGCCACATTAGTGAGGCTTGGGGGGGGGTTGGTTTTTTGCATTTCACTTGTGTGGCCCCACTGACTTTTCTGTGGGTCAGTGACCCCTGACTCAAAACAGCTTGGGGGGAGGGATAGCTCAGTGGTTTGAGCATTGGCCTGTTCAACCCAAGGTTATGAGTTCAATCCTTGAGGAGGACATTTGGGGCAAAAATCTGTCAGGAATGGTACTTGGTCCTGCTGTGAAAGCAGCAGACTGGACTCCATGACTTTTCAAGGTCCCTTCCAGCACTAGGAGATAAGCAATCTTCATTATAAAGGGCAAAGTTGTTGAGACCTGCCTCCCACTCCCAAAAAAGCCATGCCCTGGGACAGATGTACCAGCACCTATTTTCCCCCGGTGCTGCTTTTTTTTTTTTTTGCTCAACAACTTTGCCCTGGCTCTTCATGCTGTCTCCACTGCTATTGTGGCTCTTCATCTGGAACTGGTTGGCCACCCCTCAACTATGTCATCAGTTGCAGGCGGGATATGCATGATGTTAAGATCACTAGGACCATGCAGGGAGCTGAGTGCTGGACTGATCATAGACTTGTCAGATCTGTCCTTATGCTGCACATCACAGCACTGTACTGCAAGAAGCCCAAGGTTGTCAGACCTTCTTTTAACATTGGGAAGCCGCAGCATATTGGTCATCGTGAGCAATTCACAGCCTGCCTTAATGACGTGCTCACATCCCATGCACCCTTGACTGGAGACCCAACACAAAAATGGGACCACTTCAAAACCCTGCTGATGGAGTCAGCTAAGTCGACACTAGGACTAAAAAAGAGAGTTCACCAACACTGGTTAGACGAAAATGACAAGACCATCATGAAGATCTTAGAGGAAAAATAGAATGAATTTTTGGTATGGTCAAACGACCAGTCCTCAATCTTCAAACATGACCATTTCAAGCACTTTCAGAGGCAGGTGCAGACTGCACTCACAAAATGCAAGATGAATAGTGGGAGAGAAAAGCTAATGAAGGCCAACATTATGTTGATACCAAGAACTCCATGATGTTTTTTGGTGCTATCAAAGCTGTAAATGGACCTTCAAAGCTAAGTGCTGTACCACTCCTGTCTGCAGATGGCATGGCCCTCCTGAGGGAGAAGAGCAGCATCAATGATAGGTGGAGAGAGCACTTGAGCAACCTTCTAAAAAGGCCCTCCATTGTCAACTCTGCGGCCCTAGATCAGATCCCTCAGAAACACACGATAGACAGTCTTGACCTGCCACTTACAACGGATAAGGTCAAAAAGGCAATCAGCCAGACTAGCTCTGGCAAAGCACCTGGGATGGACAGTGTTCCTGTCGTGTCACTCAAAGCTTTTCACAGCATTTTGACCAGCATCTGGGAAGAAGACGACATGCCCGAAGACTTTAGGGATGCCACAGTTGTCTTGCTCTTTAAGAACAAGGGCAATAAAGCTGACTGTGGAAATTACTGGGGCATCTCCCTTCTCTCTACTGCTAGGAAGATCTTGGCTCGAGTCATCCTTAACCATCTGATCACCAGCATCTCAGAGGAGAACCTACCAGAGGCACAGCGTGGTTTCCATCCAGACCACAGCACCATTGACATGATCTCTGCTGTTCGTCAGGTCCAGGAAAAGTGCACAGAGCAGAACTTGGATCTATATGCCGTCTTTATAGATTTGACCAAGGCATTTGACACCGTCAACATAGAAGCCCTGTGGATTATCCTGTTAAAATTTGGCTGCCCAAGAAGATTTGTCAACCTCATACGCCTTTTCCATGATGTCATGACTGGCTTCATTTTTTAAAATGGTGAGTTTTCAGATCCATTTGAGATATCCAATGGTGTGAAGCAAGGGTGTGTGCTGGCCACGCAGTCAGGGACCTGGACCATGGAGTCTATATAAAGTACAGGCTTGATGGGTCACTTTTTGACCTTTGTTGTTCGAATGCTAGAAACAAGACGCTTGAGAGGCTCATTCTTGAAGCCCTTTCTGCTGACGACTGTGCACTTATGGCACACAAGGAATCCGATCTCCAGCTTATCGTCAACAACTTTGCTGAAGCTACTCGCCTCTTTGGTTTGACCATCAGCTTAGGAAAGACTGAGGTACTGTTTCAGCCTGCACCAGGATTTGCTTCCCCCCCACCTCCCTTCAATCTTTTTTGAAGGAATGGAGTTAAAAACAGTGGACAAGTTAAATACCTGGGCAATATGATAGCCAATAATGGCTCCCTTGACAAAGAAATTAATGCCAGGATGTGCAAAGCCAATCAAGCATTAGGACATCTGAAAGCACGAGTGTTGAATCAGACCAATATTCGACAGTCCACTAAACTTCAAGTGTACAGGGCTGTAGTCTTGACCAGCCTCCTGTATGGATGTGAAGCCTGGACCTTATACAGAAAACATGTGAAACTACTGGAGTGCTTCCACAGACACAGCCTGAGATCATTACTGCACATTCCATGGCAGGACAGAGTCACAAACTTGGAAGTCCTTGACAGACCTGGAACCACAAGCATTGAAGCCATGAATCTGAAAGCTCAGCTTCATTGGACAGGGCATGCCATTCAAATGGAGGAGTCAAGAATTCCTAAGCACCTCCTCTATGGTGAACTCTCCCAGGGCAAAAGGAATCAAGGTAGGCCTCGCAAGAGGTATAAAAACTACGTAAAGGCCAACATTGCTCATGCTGGATTAAAGCCAAAGCAGCTAGAGTAGCATGCAGAAGACTGAACAGGCTGGCGTGCTCTCTTACGACACGCATATGACAACCTGCTTGATGCTTGTGATAGGAGAAAAGCAATAGTAGCAGCCACACCGACAGAGCCAGGACAATTCCTTAGCCCCCACTATGAACGCCCATGCTGTTCAAGGCTTGGACTCCTCAGCCACATGCGAGTCCACAATCGATGAGCCTGTGCAAGCTCAAGACGTCATCATTGGACACGACGGGCTACCAACACCTTTTGAGAGAATGTATCATAATTCCCTTGTCACACACTCATTCTGAAGCCAATGGGTTTGTTTTACAGTTTGTCCAATTGCTATTGTAAAGATTTCGTTCATATTGTATAATTAAATTCATTCTAATTTAATCTGATTTAGTGCTCATAAATAGAAAACACCAAAGATGTTTCACAAAGGGCGTGAGAACATTACAAGTTTGATATACCTGCAACTCCTCAAGTTGAGCATCTATTTCCGTAGTGGGATTTAGCAAATATTCTCTAGTTTCCTGAATCCAAGACTTCACTATATTAATCTCTAGTTCAACCTCCTCACGTTCCTTGAGTTCTTGTTTCACCAGCTTTCCACTTTTCTTCACCTTCTGTTGCATGCTTCAAAACATAAAAGAATATTTGTGAAAAATTATAACTTGATAAAAATTTCATTATATTTTTTCAAAATTTGAACTGAGTGAAACAAAGAGCAAAAACAAGAGACTGTTTCACAACATTATACATTTACAGGATAACTAATAAAAAATTAAGTGGTGTTACAATAGAGCACTAGGGGCTTATCTAGATTATGCTGAAGTTTCGAAAAAGGATATG